ACAATATATTTGCACGGAATAAATGCAGATTGCCACTTTTTTCCAAGGCTATTACGCGATGAAAACTTAATCTTCTGTTTCTATTTATCTGTTAGCATACACTTCAACATATATTTATTTCTCTTATGTTTCTATATATGTACAATACAGAAAACAATGTAATATTTTATTTATTTCAAACTATATGCTTCAGCACATATATTTTACTAGCGTGAGCCCGTAGATACTGCACGACTATTTTCTCCTTTAACGTATAACCTCAAAACTTTAACCTTTCATGCAGTAAGAACCATATAGACATTCCACATTGTATATATAGATAGCCTACAACTTCATACTCTTATATGACACATATTTTTATACTTCATTAGCTTTCGAGCTTATACTCTTATATCCCCTCGTAGCTCTTACAGCATTATATCCTTATTGCCTTACTCCCTTCAGAGCCTATGGGTACCCCCATACAATAGCCCCTGAGAGACTAGGGGATACCTCCATAGAACGGCCCTTGAGGGCCTTTGGGTACTCCATGGGATAGCCCTCGATAGCCCATGGGTGCCCCCATATAATAGCCCAGGTCGATCGTTCCGGCCACCGGATATTGCAGGAACCGGCAGGAAAATGCGGGAAAAATCACCGTATCCTGCAGGAAAACACCGGAAATAGCCGGAACATGGAAGCAGTAGTCCGGCCGGAAATTCTCCGGATTTTTTCCGGTGAATTCCGGCCAATTTCCTGTGTTTTCCGGCAGGAACCGAGCGGAAAATCAGCGGAAAAAATTCCGAAAATTTCCGGCCGGAATACTGCTTCCATGTTCCGGCTATTTCCGGTGTTTTCCTGCGGGAACCGGCCGGTACTTTTCGACCTGGGCATCTGTTTATTTATGAAAAATTACAAGCTATATATAGGTTTTGAATAGTCCAACAGAGAACAGAGAGAGACAGAGAAGAATACATGATGTAAGAAAAGAATAGAAGAATACAGAGATGTCATAATATCCATAAGCTGGGTAACGACAAGCTACACGTCAAGATATCTAAGGAAATGGATACCCACAATTTTTAGTGCTTACTCTAAAACTTGAGGAATTTGAGTGGTTTTGGTGTAATGAGATGGATATCCACAATTTTTAGTGGATACCCCTACACCTTGAGAATTTTGAGTGCTTTTGGTGCAACGAGATGAATACCCAAAACTTTTAGTGCATATCCATAAAACTTGAGGAATTTGAGTGCTTTTGGTGTAACGAGATGGATATCCAAAAGGGTGTGGGTGTGGAGTGTGGGTGGATGTGTGGGTGTGGGTGCGGGTGGGTGTGGGTCGGGTGTCGGTGTGAGTGTGAGTGGGTGTAGGTGTGGGTGTGGGTGTGGGTGCTAATCTTCCATATATCCAAACCTACACCCACACCCATATCCATGTCGTTACACCAAAAGCACTCGAACTCCTCAAGTTTTATGGGCATGCACTGAGAATTTAGAATATCGATGTCGTTACACCAAAAGCACTCAAATTCCTCAAGTTTTAGGGGTATGCAATAACAATTTTGGATCTCCATCTCGTTACACCAAAAGCTCTCAAATTCCTCAAGTTTTATGGATATGCACTACAAATTTTGGATACCCATCTCGTTACACCAAAAGCACTCAAATTCCTCAAGTTTTAGGAATATACACTAAAAGTTTTGGGTATCCATCTCATTGCACCAAAAGCACTCAAAATTCTCAAGTTTTAGGGGTATGCAACAACAATTTTGGGTCTCCATCTCGTTACACCAAAAGCACTCAAATTCCTCAAGTTTTAGGGATATGCACTAAAAGTTTTGAGTGTCCATCTCGTTACACCAAAAGCACTTAAAATTCTCAAGTTTTATGGATATGCACTATAAGTTTTGGGTATCCATCTCATTGCACCAAAAGCAATCAAAATTTTCAAGTTTTAGGGGTATGCAATAACAATTTCAGATATCCATCTCGTTACACCAAAAGCACTCAAATTTCTCAAGTTGTAGGGATATGCACTGAAAATTTTGATTATCCATCTCGTTACACCACACGCACTCAAAATTCTCAACTTTTTAAGAATATATCAATATTTTAAAATGTCGATACCCGAGTTCCGGATATTATGACATCCCTCGAAGAATACAGATGATATCATGGAAGAGTACATATGATGTCATGGAAGAATAGAAGAATATAGGTGACGTAATGAAAGTAGGACAATCACAACATACACAAGAACGCGCAAACATGATCGATGACATCAGCTGATTCTAGTACTTCTTAACAAATCGTACCAAACAGTTGCAATTCATTCATATCTTGAATATCAAGGCCAAATTCTTTTTGAATCAGATCAATCAATTTGTTGAGGAACCTTTTGGAATTAATAAATGTTTTTTCGCAAAAGAATAGCAAGAAACAACACAAAATAGTAGCATATTAGTAAAAAAAACTGTCATTATGAGTTTCAAAAAATATTGTGCATTATCGTCTATCTTTCTGATAGTGTATATTGAATTGTTGGTGTTGTATCCGAGACCCATTCTTGCGGTAATGAATATTCTGGACCTGTCTCAAATGATATTGTTATATTTATTGTCATTCCTAATTGTAAAGTTGGCAGGCCTGTATCTTTATTTAATAATAATCCTTGAAATGGTGCTCGCATTTCGATTTCGTTACCTTTTGTACTCTGTGCATAAGTTACAATGCCATTGTATGGTCCTGGTGCTAAATCTTTACTAAAACAGATATAACTATTATTATATGGATTAGGTAATTCATATGGTCCATCTAAACATCTTTTGATTTCATCTGGAGTTGGCTTTTGTGTCCAATAAACATATTGAGTGAAATATCCAGAAGTGGCAGGACGCAATACAAACTTGTTTTGTATAATTTGTTCTCTTGTATAACTTGTCTCATTAGTATTATTAGCACCATAATCAACATATGCACCTTGATTGTATGTACCATTGAAGAATTCAAATTCAAAATTTCCATCAAATCCGGGTGCAGTTGGATAATAACCACCTCCATGTAACCAAGCACCTGTTGTATCATTCATATCAACATTCATTGCTGTTATTATATAAAATCTTCCAGCTGACGGTTTTGATGGATCACTTCGATTAAATGCATGCGGTCCAACTGAAGTCTTACCAATGACTCCACCATCAACCACACGACAATATACGTACAATGATGTAGTATCGTGAGCTATTTTAAATTCAATTATATTTACATTTGGATTGTAAATATGTTTTGGTATATCAGTTGGCATGTTCGAATCTGTATCATGACAATCGGGAATTTCTATTGAAGGAAACCATGGACTTTCTTGATAAACTGTACCATTTATATTATCCATTGGATCACTATAGGATGGAACATTTAACCAGTCATCAAAATTATCATCAATTATTATATTACGATTTATTGGATCAGATTTCAAAATCTGTATTACAGAATAAATAAGCAGTATTCGATTAAACAAAGTCATTTTTATTGTCAACTACTTGAAGAATGAAATGAAGAAAATCACATAAACATGCTTTTATACGAGTAAATAAAATTAGTAATGTTAATGTGCACCTTAGTTGTTATCTAAACAGATAAATAATTTTTCATCATGTTCGGTTATGTCAGTAACACAAGATGAGAGAAATTCACTTTGGAGATTATACAGGGTGGCCCAAAAGTCGCGTCACCGAAAAAAAAATTGAATATCTCCATTACGGCTTAAGGAAACGAGCTGAATTTTTTATCAATGATAGAGGCATGTTCAAGATTTATATCCATAAAAACATACCTAGAGAGACCTTTTGTTAAGTGTTACTATTGATTTCAACAAAAAAATTTTACTTTCTTCTCAGATTGAATAAAAAACAATATACTTAACAAAGGGTGTCGCTAGGCATGTCTTTATGGATATAAAAGCTTGAACATGCCTCTATCATTAGTAAAAGAAAGTCAGCTCGTTTACTCGAGCCGTAATGGAGATATTCAATTTTTTCTTCTGTTAACTGACTTTTGCGCCACCCTGTGTGTGTTTATGATAAGAGACTAAGAGGCATAGGAGAAAAAAATGCTGTGATAATAAGAAACAACAAGGTGATTGTCTTCTTTCTAACCTCACGAAAACATTTTCTCCTTTTCTCTGTGCTTGTCGTCAACTTGCATATCTGCAACAATTATCTTCATTCTCAAGCAACTTTACTAAGGATGAAAAGAATAGTTATTGCTTTAATGGAGATCCTTTAAATCTACTGTGCACTTCAATTGGTTTTCCCCCTCCGTCCCTTCGTATTTCTCATTTTAATCTATTATAGCTTGTTGTTTTTTCAATGATAGATATATAGAAAGAAAGTACAGATTTCGCTGCATCGTATGATAGACTGACCATAAATAAAAAATAGAAATTAAGCAATAAAAAATACGTCAGAAGAAAAGATGGTATCTTTTTTCACTACAATCTGTCTTTCATCTGGGTTATGAAAAAGAAATATCTATTTATACAGAAGGTGGATCAAAATATACGTCAGTTCCATATACGACGGCACATTTACGATATGCACTGCGAATTGGTTCTCTAGATAAAGAATAAAAAGTTTGTGAAAGTAATGATGAAAGATTTGTAGTTGTAATTGGATAATGGTTTCGAACAGACTTCTTGAACGTATGCCAAATCGGGTTGTCTAATGGTGAAAGGGTGTGGATGTGGCTGTGGGTGTGGATATGGGTGGGTGTGGGTGCACACGAATAAATATATATCGACACCTACACCCTTAGATGTATCGATGGTATCGGAGTTGTTGTGCAGACTATTATATGATTCTCGTACGCTGAAACATCTTTCTGTGAAAGTACAGATTACCCAGTGAAAAATTTTAAGGATTTAATCAGAATTATTTTGTACCAAAATCAAAATTAAAATCGATTGAAATCTTTGATTATAATCGACTATGATTGAATCAAAACTTGATTCTATTGCTTATGTAGTGAAAATTTTCCCGATTAAAATCTAATTATTCTGCAGAAAAATCGAAATTACCAATCCGATCATAGTTATGATTTTGCTCCAAGCAATCGATTGAAATCTTCGATTATAATCGAAGATTTCAATCGATTTTAATTTTGATTTTGGTGCAAAATAATTCTGATTAAATCCTTAAAATTTTTCACTGGGCAGAGATGACGACTTTTTAATTGTTGATCCTTGTTCGAAAATAAACAAATCGTTGGTCGAACATCTGCCTCTGGAAGATACTCGTGTGATGTTGAAATCTCTCTTAGAAATGACACCTGTATTACAAACATTAGATACCACGCCTCAACTATTTCAATTTAAACCTGATACTCGTCTATATTCACCTCATCCAATGCGTCACTTAACCATAAAAGTGAACTTTGTTACATTGGATGAAATCGAATGTGTTCCATTCAATAACACAATAAACCAATTTTACAATCGTCTTCAATAATGCACAGTATGATATGGCTGATGGCTACAGATGGACCCGATTGTTAAAAACAGTTATGAAATTCAAGTTCAAATTTATCTTCGATCGTAATAGCTTTACGCAGCCACCTATCGATCTCGCATCATTTGGTACTGCATTCTAGCTCGAAGAGAAACATTGGCATGTGACATATGATCGATGTATAGACACTGGTTTCGCGTTATTTTATTCAAATTTCTATTGTCTTGATGATTATGCATTACCGTATATGAAAGATGCTATCATTACTACGTCAACAGAACGAACATCAACATAATTTTCTCGTGTCAACTACCTAATGGCTGACTATTACAATCCAATCTACATAGAAATTCTACATTCATTTACACATATTACGCGTTTGCAGTTAGCAGATTGTGGTACTTGATTTATCAGAAAGCTCAATTATGCTACTAAACATATTGACTTGTCACACGTCGCGTCATTCTCTGCTTTTAGATGTGACACGAATATGTCGAATGATCTGTTTGTTAATTTTGTGTACAGTTTGCCTCGCTTACGTTCACTACAACTATCAACTGTTCTACTCAAGTTACTTTTCGTTCACCAATGACCAAACATTGTTTGTCTTGGCTTGTCAATGAGCATTCCTGACTGCAGTGAACCACTGACTTTGTGCGAGATTGATGCCTTCTGTCGCTCTTTTACTCATGTCGAAAAGCTGACTCTGTTAATTGGTACATTCAATGATTTGCCTCGAGTTTTCAACAATAGGATGTCAATATTATCGAACATAACGATTGATCAAGATGCGAATAGAATAAGTCATCATGACTGGATCAAGAAAAACACACAATTATGCAATTTTTATTATTTATATGACAAAAATAACGTTGTTGATCTCTAGTTATAGTGTAATAAAGTTCTATTTTGCTAATTTTTGTTTATATCCTTTATGGATGTGGATGTGTTCTCTTCTAATACTCAAACCATCACATCCACACCCAGCTGGAAATGAGTACAGTCAAATGATGTCTACGGTATTTGTTTATAATAGAGAATAGTATGAATAATCGGTTAAATAATACAATCACACTTGTGTCTTATTAGACCTTAAACTTAAATGTAACATCGAGTAAAAATAGTTTGGCTGAAAGCGTTAACCTACATATCTTCAAAAATGTGTACTTATGAGCATTCTTGGAAACTAGTTCTACTAGTATTATCCAACTCTTAAACAGAACGCTTTCATTTTTCATTTTCTTATTCGATAAGTAGAATGACTACAAAACTGACTGTATCCTATTAGTCTTAGCAACAAAAGCACAAAAAATGTATTAGTTAAGACTCCTTAGCTTTTTACTAGTATGAGTCAGAGAATATATTACCACTGCACTATCCGCTTTCTTTGTGCAGCTTCTTCTTTTTCTTACATGCTATACGTGAGAGAGAGAGAGAGAGAAAGAGGGAAGGTAATAAAAAGAAACTAATTAGAAGAAAAAGCAAGAACGTTAGAGCATACCACTAACTATGAGAATTAATATATGACACGTAGATGGATTAATCATTGTATTTTTTTCGATATATGTAGGAGAAAGAGAACGATCACAAAACTTTACTGATACAATTTAGCGTGTCAATAGTTGACCGAATGACTGCAATATCGATCATCGACATTGATTTACACTCGAAAAAAAAGATGTACAAAAGAATAAGAAGTAGAAATTAAGACAATAAAGATTAGCAACAGTCACATCGAACCAAGAGAGACAAAAGGAAAGAGAGAAGAATAAAGCCAAAGAACAAAATAACAGTGAACGACAGTTGGAAAAGAAAGACGAATGGAGAAAACAAATTGGAATAACAGACAGGTACATCGTGTCGCCACCGTAGTGAACATAAGTGACGAAGGGTGTGATGGTAGGTGTCGGTGTGGTTGTGAGGTTTAGTATTAATCTTTTTGTTCTGGACTCACATCCACATCCACAGCCACAACCATACCCTATACATATCCGTATCCACTTTGGTGTATTCAAATTAATATGTATTCGAGAGGGTGTGGGCGTGGGTATTATTAAAGGGAACACCCACACCCAAAATACTACTCTTTGGATGAGCCAAAATTTCATGCTAAGTTCTCTTCAAAGTTTTATCGAGATGTTGATTTGCTCAACTGAAATTTTAATTATTCAAAGCAAACATTTTTTTTTCTTAGTCCAATGTAGGGTTGTTATTCTGCAAATCATAATAAAAATATTGCCGAAAATTCAATTCTCATCTGAGTAAAAAAAGGTTCAACATATGTATAATAAATCCACTCGTAAATAGAACCGATCATAGTTTTGAACGATCAATACCAATGTTAATCTTGTCTTAAAATATTTTTCAGTTGAATTATGTTGAAAGCCTGACTACGCTTTCAAATCTTGCTTAACTGACTGCAATCAAACGGACTTCTGAGAGAAAAAACAAGAAGCAGAACTATGTCTATAAAACATAGAGAGAATGTCATAAAACAAGGTCTAATAAGAATACTCCTTTAATATAATAAAGTAGACCGTTATTTAATCAATCAATTGTTTGACGTTTTCATTTCTTCTGTTGTATTCAAATTTTCAGTTTTGATTTCCTTTGTGGATCATTCCAAGCAAAACTTAACTAAATAAATCTAAGTTATAAAGTACAATAAAAGTGACTCTGTGTATTTTATTCTCATATTTATTTAGTTGACTTCTTGCTTGCAATCGTTTTTTTAGCATAAAAGAAAAGCTGGACGTAAGAAGAGAACGAAATCGTTACATGCCATTTTTATACTTTTCATTTGATGAACTCTGCTCAATGACAGAAATACTACATTATTCGAACTTTCTGGATCATTGTGTAATATCAGAAATGCGTAGGCTTGAGGGAGAGAGATGAATATCAAAGCTACTTTTCTCTCTCTTTCCCCCTCTGGAGCACTTATCTATTTCTCTTATTCACTCTCTCTTTCTCGAAACGAATGTTTCTGACAGGGCTATAGTCCGTCATTCTCTGTGATTTTGGCCAGGTGCAATTCTTCACACAATGGTTTTTGGCTATGCAAATATCGACAGATAGTTCTCTCTCTTTCTTATCTGAAATTGTATATATACACGAGAATTAAACGATGGAATTCATAGTACTCATTTCTTTCTTATTATATCAGTCATTTAACAAATCGGGTGAAAAGAGCTTTGACGGAAAGTCACTTTGCTTGATGGTGAAAGTTTATACAGAACCCTTTTACAATAATATTCAATCGACAATTGGTGGCCCTTCATATCGTAATTATAAACGACAACGTATTAAACTTAATATATCAATTTATAATCATCAACTACGATTAAATAATTAAAATTAAAACAATGAAGAGTGATATAACTCAACAAACACAACATATTCTTAATCTTATCGCTAAACGCAATTTAAATGATGATGGTAAGATAGAATTTTTTATTTTTATTTTTATTTTGCTAATAATATTCAATTCATTATTTTATACAGAAAAGAAACAATTAATCGATGAAACTGTGGAAAATTTTAATTTATACATTAATCCAGGTTTCTTACAATATCGTAAATCATTTTCACCTGACTATGTAGCTGGTAAGTTTATTATGTGGGGAAAAAAACAAGCGATTCATTTTGTTTTTGGTTTAGTTGAATGGGCTGATAGTGGTTCAACATTTACTTGTGTTAAAGGTATTGAATATATTGATTGTTTAGGTGGATATGGAATTTACAAGTAAGAGACACAAAACAATTTTAAATAAAAATTTAATTCTCATTTGTTTTGTCTGGTAATATTTTAGTGTTGGTCATCGTCATCCAAAAGTTTTAAAAGCAGTTAATGATCAATTAAATCGGCAAGCACTTCA